ACTGTAACATGACCAACACATCACTGTAACATGACCAACACATCACTGTCACATAACTAACACATCACTGTAACATGGCCAACACATCACTGTAACATGACCAACACATCACCGTAACATGGCCAACACATCACTGTAACATGACCAACACATCACTGTAACATGACCATCACATCACTGTAACATGACCAACACATCACTGTAACATGACCAACACATCACTCTAACATGACAACATAATGATATCCAACCATAAGCAGAATACCTTTTTTAACTCGAGTTTTTCTTCATCAATGATAACACTGTCTTTAACTACTCGACTTCCAGGTTGTAATTCCGGATCAAATGCAAACTTCATTCCTGAAATCTTTAAATTCAAGGGTATCCTTCATAAGAATCAACAAGATGAGACACTAATAGTCTCTCAATGACAACAGAAGACAAAATGACTGTATAATGTAACATCCACATACCTGAGGAAATCGCCCTTCATGTTTTGGCCACTGGCTCACGCCATTCTCCAGAGCTTTTAAGAGTTGTTCACCTATGATGTACAATGAAAAAAAAATACATGTAAGAGACACCTTTAAAAAGTCTACTATTTCTGAACACATGGGTCATATGTGCCTGGGTCCACTCTTTTCATTGCCAGTTCATTTCAATTAAGATTGAGTGTTATGGTGTTATTTTACTTTAGAAGTGGGGGGATGCCATGAGTTAAAGCATAAGCATTTATTATAATTATGATGTAATTAATACTAACTTTCTATTTCATTAATTCACTATATACCTGTTAATTCCAATACTACCACAGAATCTGGCATAGGAAGTATAGCAACAAGGTCCTTCAAATGAAGAAGAGAAAATATATCAACATGCTGTTATATAATATATTCGTCAATTATAAATGATATAGAAAAATTTTCTATTTTTTCTTTTAATCCACACATAATATTCCATTTCCCGTAAAAGGAAGGCCTCATTTGAACAGAAGATTACTTGAAATATCAAAACTCCAAAACAAAGCACCAGTACCTTCTTCTTGAATGTTCCAGGAGGGTGGATTGCATCAGACCGTAAGGTACCAGAATTCAATAATACAACATCTGCTTTGGTCACATTGTGCATAATGTCAACGATAAAGTTCCCTGCAAGTTCAAGAAAAATTAAGACAAATGCAATGGTACCTGGTATAGGGGACACTTTCTGGACCTTTTGCCTGGTGTTTGCTTGATAAAAGTTGCCTGTCAAAAAGAGGTCTGTTTTACAGTACTGTAAACACGGTGGTACCTCTATTAAGCAGACACCTTCATTTGGCCTTGCCTGGCTTTTGCTTAATAAAGGGTGTCTGCTGAATAAAGGTACATTTCACAGTAAATATGGGAAGACAATTACAGGACTGTACAACTAGCTGTCCATTTAATAAAGGGTGTTGACTTCATAAGGGGTCCACTTAATGAAGGTTTCACAACTGTTTAATAAAGCATACCCTGATTAAAGGTAGTTTATTAAACCACTCATGACATACTCATGCATGCAGTAGATGTGCAGAATGATACTTGCCTAGGTTTGTCTCTTTTGTTCGCAAACTTGCAAAGGTCCCGTCCAGCTCCACCTCAGTTTGACCAAGTGTCTCTTCCATACTTTCCTTCATAATATCTAATGTTACAAACAATATCCTTTTTAATCCCCCTCATCAGTAACTAACCATCCACTGGGGGGGGGGGGGGGGGGGNGGGGGGGGGGTGAGGGAGGGTCCATCCACTTGTTAGGGGGGTATCCCAAATGAAGACATGAATATAGAGATATTATGCATTGTAAATGTTTCTTTTGCTTCAAAAAAGCATTAGAAGAGTATTTACATGCAGATTTAGTGGTGTTCAGTGCACTGCAGGAAATCCCCTGGATCCATTCGACCTGATCCATCAAACAAATCATAAAATGCAGCATTGATAAACCTCGACTCTCTCATCTTTGTTTATTGTCTATACACACGTCATGTACTTACCCATATATTGGTCAACTATTTTTTTGAGTTCTGGGTCTTCTGGAACATCAYTTGTAATTTCAATTTTTTCAACTTCAATATCAAAATTATTGTCATCGCTGAAAATGATATTAATTTTGCTTAATTCTCTGAAGTCTGAACCACTTTTGATAATCTTGACACCATTAACATCTTTTACTTCATAATGGTGGTCGTGTCCACCGAGAATGAGGTCAATACCACTAGATAATTCCGCCATACGAGTGTCATTGTGCAAACGCATGTGGGTGAGTGCTATCACTAAATCAGCTCCTTCATCTCTTAGCTGTTTTGACAGCTTGGTACCAAGCTCAGCATAATCTTGAAAGATGACTTCACTTGGGTCAATTGTTGCTAGAGTAGCCAGCCATTCTTCTTCTACCAGACCAATACAACCAATCTGAGACAATCATTAACAGGAAAAATTATTGTGGGAAAGAAATAATAAGAAATAATACAAAACAACTGTCAGAGAATGCACAAGTAATCAAATTAATAAATTTATTGATCGAGACAGGTTAAGTGGAAAAAAAATTATTGAAAATAATAAACATAAAGGTTAGAGAAAGTATCATATGCCATACACCTAAGTCCAAAATGGCACACGGCCGAGTGTGTTACATGAAAACAAGGCATCCAGGGCCATATGCAAAGAAATAATATGGTGTCAATGCAAAGTATACACTTGTTCACTTGTTCTGTCTTTCTTTTCTTCTTACATTCAGGAACGCTACAACTTTGCAGCATCAAATTATGAGAAAAAACTGTAAATTTGGCCCTGGATGCCTCGTTTTCAACCTGCCATGCACCACTTTGGATTAAGGTGTATTGGTGGGACTCCAACCCATGGGCAGTATTCTAGTTCAATATGTTAACCAAACTGACACTGCACTACAAGGACCAACCATGCTGGAAATGCAGCCAGACAAATGTAACATAAGGCATCTGAGGGGCTCAAGAGAGTTTTTTCTAAGGGAAAGTTGAACATCATAAAGTAATGGTACACAGATATAATTATTATTGAAAAGTAATTTGTAAATGGCCTGCATTCAGTGTAATGAATACAAAAATAAAAACAGAGAAAAATGTCATACACCCTCAGTGTATATGAAAAACAACACATTTTTACTTCTTCTTGGATATTTGCTAAATTATCCATCATTACCACGCACCTTCTTTCCATTCCATTCAAACATTCTTGTGATTTCCCCCTCAGCTAACTGCCCTAGCGTTGCCTTGTCTGTAACATTACTCATTAACCAAGGGAAGTTGGTCTTATCCTTAACTTCAATCAAGTCGTCAACACCAAAATCTGTAAAATAAATTGCAACTTTAGTGTTTTGTAAAGGTAAGCGACTGCAGTAGGCAAAAGTTAGATCTAATGGAAGCTTCAGTGAGTGTATATGCATTAGTGCACTACTTTTTTGTCTTTCAGAATGCCTTGAAAATGTGGTTCCAGAAAATTTCCCTACCTCAACATGGAGGAAACTTTCTTACTTAACTTTGTAATTTTTCCTGACCCCTGGGAGTTCCTGATTTCCTGCATGTTGAGGTATGGATATTTTCTGGAACCTCCCAATACTAAAAAGGCATCTCAAAAAGTGTTACATTTGATATAAATCTTTGGCACAGGCCTCGCTCCTTATATGAAAATGCATTAATTTTTTTGCAAAACAAATGTGTACTGCAAATTGCTCAACATTCATTCTCACTGTTTCTTGCAGCCCAACATTAATGCTGCATGATAATTAAATACACAATTGTGTTGTCTCTTTAACTGTCAATACCTCAACTAAAGCTAATATCTATTCTTGTAAGAAGGTAGCTGCATCATTGATCCCTAGCAATCAATAATGATGAAAAGGTAAATTATACACCGTGAAAAGATGAAAAAACTTACTGACGTTTCGGACGCTAGTCCTTCGTCGGAGTAAACTTTACTCCGACGAAGGACTAGCGTCCGAAACGTCAGTAAGTTTTCTCATCTTTTCACGGTGTATAATTTACCTTTTCATCATTACTGTTTCATTAGAAACACCGACGCAGCTCACACTAGTTTTTAGCTAGTTATACCTTTTCCCTAGCACTCAATAAGCTTTAAGGTCAAGTCCACTTACCAAAATCATGATTCCCATATACAGCAATGTTGATGTCAAAAGAATTAAGAACTGGAATCATGTGTTTACCTTTGGTGACGCTGCTCACTATAAGTGAAATAAATATTTAAGAGAAAATTCAATGTCAATTTAAAACATGTTGGAATAAATTAAAAAATGACCCAGTGCCCAATGGCCAACATTACCTGATATGATTATTCAACTAATCCTCATTGACCTTGCTTGCTATTCAAGTTCCCAGTAGGTCAGTGGTTAGTTTTTAGTACAGCATGTCCGATTAAAAAATGGAAGGTCGTGGGTTTGATCCCCAGTTACATTGTAGCTCAAATTTTTTATTGAGTTTCCTGTCTGCACACACACTTCCTATATATTTATAAACTTTATTTCATGTAGTGATAAGAAGAATAATTATACAGCTTCTCGTTAATCCYATATAGGTAACTGTCCAATTATTTTCTTAATTGGACAGGTCTTGTTGATATGGGATTAATTAGGCATCTATATAATTAATAGGTAATGGGATTTCATGCTCCCCAATCAAGAAATAATTAGACTCGAAAAATTCCTCTGACTGCAAATCAGCCTATGGCCTCATCCAATTTTGTCAGTCCTCAGAATTTTCCTCGTCCAATTATTTCTTAATTGGACAGCATGGAGTCCTACTACATATGCTAATCACCATGTCTCCCTTGCCAGAGGGTAATGATTAAGGAGGAAACACACATGAAATTTGACAGTTGTCTTGTATTTTTTGTCTTGGCCAACAAAAACAAATGACAATACATATTTCTGATAAGACGGTATAGATTAAATAGCAACCAAAACTTTTTAACAAGCAAAAACAAAAACCCAGACAAAAAATCCTGCATTACAGGATATATAAATCTGTTAAAATTTCACTCTGAATCTGGAATAAGTTATTAGTGCACGGTCAGTTAAGACAAATTTAACGGATCAATGTATATATGTGCAATTATAATTTTTCTTGGAATTCCTAAAATCTATTGGACCCTCTCTATGCTATTCAACATATCTAGGATATTAGTCCTTGGGACTTAATATGCATAAGGCATTAATTGAATTAAAATACTTCGTAATTGCTTCAGACTGTTTCTTAAACAAGCACACCCCAAAACATTGTACAAGAACAATATTCCAATGCGTAAATTAAATTGTTAAGATTTCCTATACAAATTATGGATCCATGTTTCATTGGCTATAAATAATTCATGCACATGCATCGAATGAAAATATATACATCTATGGAACTGAAATAAGGTTTTCTGAAAACCCAGTACGTCAAAAGCTAAACTATAGCTTTTTCTTTAATACATAGTTGAATTCGAAGCTTAAACGTCCAAGGTTAAAAATACGAAGAGCTGATGATTGATGAACGTACAGGTTAATAATAACAAAATTAACACTTCAAGTTATTATAAGAAAAACAGCTGGAAAAGAGAAATAAAATCAATACTTACTCATTGAAGGATTGAGTGCATCTCCACTGAACACAGTAAAAGGATTAAGGTGCTTATAGCTGGCCAGTTTATGTGCAAATCTTGCTGCTCCTCCGACAGGTTCTTTGTCGCGAGGCTCGATGTTGTAAACATCGTTGAAGTGCAAAATGGTCAAGCAATTTGAAGGGATTTTAACCTCGGAATCCAATCCTCCTGTCTCAATTTGAACTGAGTTATGAGACTCATTGTTTTGTTCTATATTCTGCGGCAATTTAGACCCAATTTCCCCGTTTTGTTTTGGTTTTTCAGACCCTTCTTCTTTCGTAACATTTGTTTTCGTTTTGTTGGGACATGATTGATCTAATCTCGCTGATTCTCTCACAGAACTCTTCTCTAAGCTCACTGAACAACCCATGATTATGCTAAAAATTACATGCTCGGTGTTAGCTATAATTGTTCATATTTCTTTACAAATAAGACGGAAATCGGAGCCACAGAAGAGTTATTTTTTCCACTCAAAGTAAACGTTACGTTACCCTGCATAGCGATACTTCAAAAGGTCAACAATTAACTTACGATTGCGCGAGGACTGGGACTGTTACTTAGCAACAGGAAATCGTTCCCGACAACGAATGAAATGTAAGGGAGCTCGTCACCTACATATCGATTGAATGTTTTCCGTTGTTGAATTTGATAATTGGGAAAGAAAATATATCACAACAGCCGGGCAAAGGTCAAAAGGTTTTAAAGCATATATGTAACTGGCAGTGGTTTGAGACGGACAAAAAAAATTTTCTAACTTTATTTTATTTACAAATAAACATTTTCTTCAAATGGGCAAAGGCTATTCAAAATAAATAGCAATTTATACATTTGATAATTAAGTACATCTCGGTCTTAATTTAATACTTTCATCTAGCTCATATTGTAAGAAATAACATGTAAGAACTGAACTCACTTTATTCTACAGTTCAGCATATGAAGAATAAAAGAGTCGAAGAAAAGGGTAAGGAGTTTATGATTTTAGTCCTACATAGAGTCATGCAAAAGAACCAGTCCTGTTCTTCTATTAAATCCTAAACACTGACTCCATAAACTAATTCTTCAGTTTTGTTATATAATACTGTCTGGTAGTAAAATTTAGGATTGATTTAAACTACATTTTACGATAGTTAACTGATACCTTATTGATACCTTGAAGACAATTTATTACAAAGCTAACGGTTATTTTTTAATTGTTATTTTGATCTGATTTTACTACTTCACTCAAATGATATCTAACTCTTATTCTGTAAAACTAAACAAAGCTTGTAGGTATAGAAAAAGTCAAGTCAAGCTGTTGTTCCTTTGTTTCATCTTTAGTCCAATTTTTGTTTAGACAGAGTCATGAGTTCCTGTGTTGACGTCACATCCCCTAATATGAAGCCCGTATTAGTCCAATGTCGTCTTACTGGATCTCAAAACTTCATATTATTTGAGTTTTGTCCAGTCCAAAGAACCATAGTCAACTATGAAAGAACAAACGATTCTTTTCCTAGCACTAATGACGTCATGAGAAAAGAGGTGTAATAATTAGCGGAAAAACACAGGAAGCCCAAAGAACCACGTCAAAGACGAGTAGAGGAGAATCTAGGTCAGTTTGGAGTAACTTGGAGGAGCATATTTTTTGCGCAAGAACTTGAGAATATAGAGCGGTAAACAGCTAACGAGGGTGATTACAACGACTTTCCATATAAAGTCCGTTGACTTTAAAAACGACGCATCTAGGAATAGAATTCATATTAACTTCGTTAGTTTTTAGTTGATTTTATATCATCTTTATTTGCTGAAGCTAAAATTCTCGATACGGTTAGCCACATAGAGAAAGGGAATTATCGAATAATGTTAGGRCTGTTTAGGACTTGCTCAGTTTTTATAGAAGTGTTTAGTGTTAAGTGTATAGTGTTTAGTGCTTTGCCGCGTCATATTTGCTGATTATGAATCATTCTGGGTGTTTTAACTTCGTTTATTTCAGGATAAGGCAAAAACAAAATGTGCTGTGCTGATTCCAATCGAGTTAAGTTACTTGGTATTTCCCACCCACACTAGAGGGTCGTGAAGTGACATTCGCGGACACACAGTACCATTTAGTTGTCTTGTGTTGAATGCAACACATGCATTATGCACCCGCATAGAATTACGTGCGTTAGAAATACGTGCGTTTGAATTACGTGCGTCAACAAGAGCTGAAGAACCCTCCTGAGTAAAAGGGTGCGAGCATGACGGAAAAGAACGTGCTCACGTACTTAGTTGTCTTTTAACAACCACGCCATTCTTTGCTTTGCAATTAAAAATATTTGTGTATATACTGGCGGGCTGGATCCATCAAATAGCCAGATGGTTGATAATTACTGAGTACTAATAAAATCAATACTTACCAAAATAATTTCGAAGCAGAAATAGTGATGCGACGTAAATTCCTAAACTTAAGATTTCAGCGACGACCATTAACCAATGCCAAGTTCTAATAGTGAGAGCAACCATTAACAACTCTGTCAGGATCAGAGCAGTAAAAGTGATGGAAACAACATGGATGAACTCCTCGTCGAAGAGTAGAAGACCACCAAACATGATGATGGCACCTGAAGCACCATAACAAGCAGGAATTTAGAGGATAGTAATATAGGGAACATCCGGTTTGGCAGGGGTGGGGTAGGGAGTAAAGGAAAGGGGTGAAACATGATGATGGCACCTGAAGCACCATAACAAGCAAAGAATTTAGAGGACAGTAATATTGGGAACATTCAGGTTTCGCAGGGGTGGGGTAGGGTGTAAAGGAAAGGTGTATGGAACAAGGTACGGGAGGCAATAAGCAAGTTATAGTACAAAAACATTGACCTTTGCTTTCTCCGTTGAAACGTGAATCTTGATTTTAAGATGATATATAGACTAGAAAATCATCGTCGGGTTTAAAACATAGAACATAGAAGCTGAGGGCAATTGAGTGTGTCTCTAGAGATTTACTTGACTTTAAAGTAAAACGCAACACAAACATCTCAGCCGCAAAACACTACGAAGAGCTGCAGATGAGAACATGTTACTCGTACGACCCTGTTTCAAAGGACTATAAGAGGGGTGCCCGCTAATATAAATGTACAATTTGTTAGATTTCTTCACTCACCTTGGTATATTGATACTAGTACCCACACGAAGAAAGTTTTATACGACAATGAACGACCCTGGAGGAAAAAAAAACATGAATCGTCAAGATCGTACAAACTGAATTAAATCGTCGCATCGCTCACAGAAATTGCTGCAGAATTCTCGAATTGCAAGGGACACTTTGCATGGGTACTGTAGACATTTCCCCCCAGCCATTGACAGACCTCTGTATTATGAAAAGTGGTATTCAATGTCATATGACTAACCTTGGTTAAGTCTTTGTAAAGTTCAGGATATAGTAAAGCCTTGTCAGCAGAGACATCGACGTCCAGGACCAGAGAGAAGACTGGAAACATTGTGTAGATCGTGGCATAGCTGAGAAACAATACATACCAACATATGATGTCAATATCATTATTAACATCATGATCATGATTAACACAACCATTATCATCATCGTCATCATTAATATTATCATGGTCACTACCACCACCAACATTATCATTACCATTATCAAAATCGCCATCTTCAACATCGTCAACATATCGTTTTTATCACCATCGCCATCATCATTATCACCATCATCATCATTATCACCATCACCAACACCATCATCATCATTATTACCATCACCATCATCATAATCATAATCATCACCACCAACACCAACGCCATCATCATCATTACCATCACAATCATCACCATCACCTAATCACCACCACCACAACCACCACCACCACCACCACCACCACCACACCATTATCATCATTATCACCMTCATCATCATTATCACCATCACCATCATCTTTATCACTATCACCGTCAGTAAGGTGAAAATAGATTTGTAACACGATAGTACTACTTACCCAACCATTAGAAAACCTTGATAAAGAGAAACTGATGAAAAATAGAACACACAAGAAAATACAGCCTACAGAGAGAAAAAATCATTCAAGTTAATGTACCAAACATGTGACAAGTACAAATCTGAGAAAAGCAGTGTGTAGACTTAAAGCAGCGTGAGTTCAAAATACATACCTGCATCACCGAGATGATTAATCCACGATGAATAACGAACTGGCTTAGAGATGCGGATCGCTTGTAGCTGTATTCAACAAACATAAATCGTGAATTTAAAGATTACACTAACGGTCGGTTTTCGTATGAGTCGTAAAAAATATATGGCAAATTTGAAGCCATACTTTAGTCGTACCGTACCGTATCTTGCCGTAGCCGTAACTACGCATTGTGATTGGATGAACTTTGCCAAAATGGCGACAGCAAATTCGAAATGAGTTAAAATTCGACTGAGTGAAAAACCAATACCAGCACTGGTAAGAGCACATTTTAACAACCCTACAAAGATTCATTATGTCAGGTGTTATATCGGCCGAGAAAACTCTAGTTGACAAATTTACAGACATTTATGTCTGGGGGTATAGTGTAAAAWTTGTCAATTTTCAACTAAAGTTTTCTCGGCCGATATAACACCTGACATAAATCTTTACCGTGTCCATGGTGTAAGTCAGTACCGTACGTTTCCCATTCATACGATAACCATTCTTATGGGAAGCCAATTCAGTGTTGCGGCATGTCGTACCGTGTAAGTGCTGCAAGTCAGTACCGTATGTTTCCCACTCATACGATAACCATTCTTACCATTCTTGTGGGAAGCCATATCAGTGTTCCAGCATGCCGTACTGTGTACGTGTGTAAGTCAGTACGGTACGTTTCCCACTCATACTATAACCATATATTATGGGAACCTATTTCAATGTATGTTTCCCAGTAAAACTCTAGGAAACCATTCCAATGATACGGCATACCGTATGTTCCTCACTCATACGAAAACCACTCTAATGACCTTTGAACACGTCATGTATAAGAATCATGCATGGGTTAGTTACCAACCTGTTTCGTCCATGCCAGACCAACAACCTGCCGACATTCTTAAACTGTGTTATCGAGAAATCTGAAGCTAGCGATGCTTGTCGTCCTTCCTATAGGTAATCAAGAATATGGCATTACTTGATGACATATGCGTCATTGAACACATGACGTCATTACCTTGCCCTCGATTCCAATACCAGCATTTGCTGCTTGAATCATACTGACGTCATTTCCTCCGTCACCTGCAAAAGCGTCACGTGAGTAAATATGGATTCGAATTGTGCACAAGTATTAACAGTTTGTCCTGACGAATTTCTTGTTACTACACCGTCAAGGAACCGCAAGGACCTTTCCACTGTCCCATAACTAAACGTTGAACGCATGTAACAGTTTTTGCATGACTGTGAAAAGCTGGCGTCACGAAAACGGTCTTGACACGGCAAGGCATATGCCAGACCAATCACATACCGCGAGTATTTACTCTTTATCCAATCAAATGCCCAGAAAACGGCATAAAGACGGCGCGGACACGGTCACGTCACTGCCAGACAATTACAATGCGCGAGAAAAAAATCAGCCAATTAAAATTCTAGAAACCATCATAGTCACGGCACGGCACAGTTACGGCACTGTGCTTTTCATAGTCATGCGAAAACTGTTCTAGGCAAACGACTCAAGGTTACAGAGTATGGCATACTCTCCACATACTCTCATCTTTGCATCATAATTACC